AAATGGTGAATGCTACGCACATGGCAATTTTCATGAGCTCGTTTGGCAAATTTCCTTTGACGGAGATCAGAAAAGTTATGATCACCTTGACATGTTCTACAGGAAACCAGCTTTACAGCACTATACTCTAAACATGTCTTCATTCTGGAAAAGGCTACTGATATCCCTGAATCCATTTCTATTTCCAGAGCCTATCAACTACTGGGAATTAGGGCACTCCCTATGCTACACTGATCATCGTCAGTGGCTAACCATTCCATTATCCTTATTCTTAGTGTTATTATAACCATCATCATTCTCTCTATAACCATTATCCACATCTAATGACATATCACTATCAATGATGTTTTCAAAAATAATATAAATAAGATATTTGACAGAAATATCCCTCCCCACAGAGGTGTTGTTCAAGACAGTTATTAGATAAAAAACAACAACAATATTTGTTGTTTGAGATGAAGTTCCAATTAACCACACTCCTGTAATATAAAAATGCTATTATCTGATCCACTCTCTGTGCCCTTCCTAACCAACCACCACCTCTTCGTTGGGCTTGCTGTGTGACCTCAATCCCCTTCCACAATGAGCTCTACCGTGCTTCGCAAGCTCTGGCCAAAGGAATATGATATCCGAGTGGGAAGAGTCACAGATGAGATGCTCCTCCCCCAGGAACCTAATCCTGAGAGGTCAAGGTAGGTAAAACAAGGTAACTCCACTTGAATTTAGAATACTAGATCCAAAAATCAAACTGACTTTTTCCCAAGAGTATTTTGATGGCTGTTAATGGGAAGGAACTTTTCGTTATCATGAATAAAAGCGGGAATTTTGTTTTTACTTTTGTACTTATAACAATATCAAGTAAATTATGCTAATAGTTATGTTGCTATTTTTATCTGATATCTCACAAGCATTCTCATTGGCTAAACGTGGTGTCATTAGCTTTGCCCCCTTTCAGACCCCAAAATTCTGTGCAATATTTCATGGTAAGTGCTTTCTCATTTGTATTTTCTTTGAAAATGGTTCAGTTTGAACAATAGGTAAAAAGAAATACTGAAAAAGGAAGCCAAAGAAAAAAAAAAAAGAAAATCATATTTGCAATGAAAAAAGGAAAAGAGATGGGGCGTAAGTCAGAAATTGCCAACTAGAATTTACATCTACATGGAGTGGGCTACCTGGTTATATGTACCCTGCACACACAAGACAGATTAAGTAAAATCTTTCCCTAGGAAGTTTTGGATTCAGCACACCGGACTCTAGGTCCAGACGCAGCAGAGCCTACATTCGTGTGTCATCATGGTGCCACATGCCTTGGGTGGCACCTGAAAATCCGTTCTGGTTTCTCAAGAATAAAGCTTTAAAAAAAATATGTTTAACTGCCCATTATAACAGCTGTGATTTTTGGCTTAATTAACAGATTATCTCATACATTTCATATGTATGTGTAGTTTACTTCATGAAAACTTGACTTTTGCTAGCATTGCGTTGGCATAATAACACTAAAAATAAGATGGTGACCCTAGATTTTCACATGAATGTACTTGATTTTCTTCAATCTGACATAGCTTTCATTCCCACATGAAGATAGTTCAAGCCTGTATGTTCATGAAATTATAATATATCTGGAATAAATACAGATATTGTTTTTTCCTTATTAAGGGGATTAAACTTTTTTTCTTTTCTTTTTTCTTTCCTAGCCTAAACTGTTCATGACCAAAGGTGCTTTGTTGTAATTATCTCCAGTCATTAAAGTTTACGTATGTGTTATAGGGAGTTCCTGAGACCTTGTGCATTTCATCTTAATAATGTGAGATACCCCCCAAATTATAACATTAATAAAAATAACAACAAATATACTAACTTCAATAAAAACAAAAATAATAGGAATAATACTAATAATATACTACTAATACAAACAATAATACTAATAGTATTAACAGTAATAATAATAATAATAATAATAATAATAATAATAATAATAACATCAATAATGATAATACCAATAATAACAAAAATAAATAAAATTGCAATTTGGAACTGGCTGATTTTGAGGGACACAGGTCTGAAATAAGCCTTCGTAAACTTCTTCACTCTGCTCTACTGATGCTCCCTGCAGGAATGCACCATAAAGCCATGCACACATTAGCAGCAAGCAAATGCAAACAGACATGAGAGGCAGCTGCTTTTTTCTGTATTATGGAATTTATAAAATTTATGGGTAAACTGAGTAAGCTTTAATTTCATTAATTATTCTAGTTGTCATTACTGAGTATAATCTTGAATCGTGTAATTCAACTTAAGCTAAGGTCACACTAGTCTTCTCTCTCCTGGGATCTCTGGACAGCCTTGCCAAAGTCAGGTCAGCTGACCAATCACAAAGCTGTAGCTGGCCAGACTTCGGCGAGGTTGTCTAGGGGTCCTGGGACAGCGATGACTAGTGTGACCTTTAGCTTTAGAAATGCTAAGTTTACGTTTCCTGTACTTGCCTATACTTGCCCACTCT